AAAATTGAAGAAACTAAGAACAGCTGGATGTAATCACAAGTGATCTGCAGAGCTCCATTAGCTTGGACTACAGGGTCAGTCTTTCCTTGCTTCTCACCAGCCACTCCAACAGGAGACTTAAGAGCCAGCCAGATTAACATCTTCCCAAAACCTTGGGACTAGGCAGCCAGACTCTGACTCCCCTTCTGCTAAATCAGTCTCCAGGGTGTTAGCTAAGATCAGGGGCCACAAAGTGCCTCCTCTCTCACCTCTAGCAGGAAGATTTACCACTCCAGGTGCCCAGCAAAGGAGTAGACCTGCACACTGGAACTGACTGGGTTTGCCACCACATGAGAATTGCTGTTGAGTGCAGTTGGCCTAGTGTAGTTTATTTAGCGTCTCCAGCATTGTTTAAAGTAAGCACACATGCAGATGAAATCATCCCCTCTTTCCACAAGAAAGATTAAAAAAAAAAATAATTCTATCTATGCCTTGTGAAAGAGGATGGGAGTTTTACCAACTCTCTGAAGTGGAAGAACTCCACAGAGACAAAATTATGTGGGAAAGGGAAATCAATTTTTACTAACCTCTCTTCCACTGTCGTGTTACTTTGTAATTTTCAGTGCAACCTCCGATATCTGATGCATTCTCAAGAGCCATGGGAATTGTCAGTGCAAGTATATTTAGCCATATCCCTTTGGGTAAGATGGGGGAGGAGAGAGACCCCTAAATAGCTGTAAGATAACAATTACTGCAAGCATATTTGCTTAAAGAAAGTTTAGTCAGAGTTCAGAGAAAAGACAAGTCCTTGGCAGCTTGGTGAAGCAGCAGCCAATGGCCAGCTTCTTCTCAAGCTGTCCCTACAAACTCTTACCCAGCGAGCAGCATGCTCAGAAGAGAAACCCCTCTGCTTTCCTTAGGTCTTTTCCACGTCCTATAATTCTTGATGTGAATTAAATGCTTAAAGAAGTGGCAAATTATCTAGGATTCTCTGCCCTCTTTAATAAAAAAAATAAAAAATCAGAACATCAAATCCCAGCCCTCCACAATAGAAAACGGTCTTTTACATTGGAGTTGAAATTCCCACTATTCACAACAGAGATCGCAAAAGAATCAAAAAAGTTCATGGCACTTTAACAGATGAGTGAAAGCGTCCTGGCTTTCATTCGGCTGCAGTGTTAGTGGGAGTAGGGAGAAGCCTCCCCCACAGCTGCTGGAGAAAACTGTGGGACTCGGTCTGGAAACATAGCAGGGGGAGGATGTGAATGCTGTTAAAAATAAAACTTATCAGACAACAATTGAATCATGAGAATGTTATCAGGTTCAACAGGAGCGTGAAAACAAATAGGAATTTCAAGAAGAGGGTCACTAGCAAGGTAAATAACTTGAAAATAGCAGGAAGCAACCAAGGAAACGTGCCAAGCTGGTGGCAACAAACGGAGCTCTCCGCGACCATGGAGGACAACAGTGACCGTGGATTTCGGTGTCACCTCTGTGAGGTGCCACCACCCTTCATCCAGCTGTGTGGCACTGCACCCACCTGCCACAACCCCGACCATGGTAAGACACAAGACTGAAAAGGACTGCACAGGACAACATTTAACATGACCCAGTGTTTATTGACTCCCGCTACATATCCTTTTATTTAATAGTAACAGGAATACAAAACGTGATGTATGGCAAAATACTACTAGGGATTTCTATACTAATCTGATGCAAAGTGCCAGCATTGTTGACCAGCATACAACCTGACAAGGGAAGATGTAGTCATAACACTCTGAGATATCTGCTGGGAGTACATCACCGTCAAAGTAGAACTAGTTATTTGCCTGCAAATAGATACATTTTCTTCTAGATGCAAGTGGTGTTAGAGCCAGCTATTTTGCAACAACAACAAATACATATAATATATTCCAACATTTTAAAAAATGCAATAGGAAAGGACTAAAACTGCTTAAAGAGAGAAGGAAAAAGAGTAGATCTTTTTAGAAATTACTTTGCAGAGGCCATTCCTGGTGGAACCAGAAGTAATCTAGAGAAAATAAGATTTATTAGAGGTTACTTTGCTCAAAAGGCCAGTGGTCACAGGTTTAAGAATAAAAACAGTCTCTTTATTTTCAGTACTGTCTCCTGGCCTTTTTGCGCCCTGCACAACAAAAACCACCTGCCAGAAATTGTGGCTTGGTGGCTCTGTGTATTTTTACAATGCAACTGCATTTGGAAAGGCAACCATGTTTCCTAAAGACCCAAGAATCAACTTCCATGACACACAGATGTGGCATGTATCATCTTCACAGATACAAATGATGAAGGCACATTACCTACAAGTTGGAGAAACCCAACAAAACTTTTGGAGGACTAAAAATTAAATGTCTTAGAGAGAACGCTTTTTCACAACCAGATGACAAATTCTGTTTAGCCATAGATGTTTCAGTTTGCCATGAAGACGAAACACAAGGATCTCCTTGAAAGACCCTCCCTACTGCAGCAGCCTGCTTCCCCCACAGCTCTTCAGACACTTTCATTCTTGCAGAGCAGTTTGCAGCAATTCCAGAGACAGGCAAGAGAAATCTGTGTAGAAAACATCAAGCCTGTGGATTTCTACATAACCAACACCTCCTCCACGCCCCCCAGTTGAACTACAGCATCTTCAAGGAGATCATCCCACTGATCTGGAAAGGGGGTAAAGGTCTGGAACACAGGACTGAGAAACTGGTTTCAAAGTCTTGTGCTCTCAACTTTTTTTGTACTTATATATGTGTTAATAAAGAAAAAGACAATGCTCTCTGCCACAGAAAAATTGCTTTCTCCTCTATCTAGATCAAGAAGATATTGGCTAAAAATGAAAATATGTACTTTATTTACAATAAATGCATCTATACTGCTCCATGCTCCATCCACCACACACGTGTTGCTGACCACTGCTGAAGCCAGGTAGTAGCAATAGTGGTAACCGAAGTACCTTTCTTCAACCTTTATACAAAGCCTTTCTATTCCCACCCCATCATTTTCCCACTGCTCTAGGCTCCACTGAGATGTGTACTAACATCTCTTCCTAGTGCATTTTACTTTTTTTTTTTTTAAGGTTATAGTTTCTAAAGGCAAAGCAAGACTTGCTCTGTTCTGGTTTAGCTAGCTGTCTTTGCCCCCTTTAAAATTATGTAGGAGTTTCAATTTTACATGCCATTATCAAGTTTGCATAGCAATAAAACAGGATGGGTTCCTCACCTCTTCTTTTTTAAATAATAATCCTGTGCCCCTCCCTTTTTCAACACCTACCATCTTTCAAAGGGCTACCTCTCATTCTCAGGGAAGAGCCCTAAATCTTTCTCCTCCCACACAAACACTGCAGAATGAGAATTTCAAGTTATCATTAAGTTTCCTTCAAGTCTATGTTGTGCTACTTAGAAGCAACTGTAGTGGAACAATGTTTTTCCTAACATTAAAGGACATTTATCAGATTATTTGTCTTTTTCTAATCTTGAGTTATAAGAATATTTGTCACACTTGCTCCCTCGTATTCCTCTCTTAAGGTGCATAGCGGGCAGGCTGAACAAAGTCCAGCCCATAAGACCACAGCTGGATCTCTGGGAGAAGCCAGAGAGAATGAGGGCTTCTTAGCACTACTGTATTTACATTCAGAATTCGAGGACAGGCTGAAGGATGCCCAGCTTTTTTTTTCTTTGAGATAGAACTGCTTAAAAAAATACTCCATTTCTATCACCATTTTTTATGCCATGAAAGTTATTTCTTTTCTGTCCTATGCAGCTGTTACCCTGCTGTCACTGACGTTTACCAGTTGCCATTGCACACTACCTTTTCATTCCCTAGCTCAAGGGCATCAGAGCTGGCCCACAGACCCATCACTAGCACGACAGCCCGGCACAGCCTGGTGAACTGGTGCAGGGGCCAGCAGCTGAGACAGACCAACCTTCACCACCGCAGGCAGGTGGCACAGGAGAATATGGGACACTGAAGAGGGCATCTATTTGGAATATTTAGTAGGGTCTGACATACACACTGAGACGAAAATAAATGCAAGTGAGTATTAGGTTGAGAACAATTAGTGTGAGTGATAAATACATCCACCACCAGCTCCCAGCTTCATTAAGAGCTATTCTGAACTGCATAGTAAGTGCTGGCTGTAGAAGCTTAGGCAGATGGGGACATAGTTCACCAGTTACTCATTGAGTCTAATGAGTTTTAAAAAATAATAGAGAAAAAAAGAAAGTGTGCTTTGCCATTTGAATAACTCTGATCTCATGGCTTCAGCACATCAGAAGTAGTTACCTGGCATAACAGATCAATTGAAACGGAGTCTCTCTTTCATTGAAATTACATATGCATGCAAAGTGAAACAAGTGTGTTAACTAAGGATAAGCAGCATAAAAATCAAGTCTTAGTTATCCATTATTTACCATACATTTGTCAGACTGCCAGACATATCTTTTCCTTTCAGATTCATATCTGCATCACACAAAACATAGTAGATGAAGTCACAAAAATAACACTTAACTCTATATATCATTGACGTTTAATGCCAAAGCATTGCGTGTCATCAGCCTTCCAAGTCTACCAAACTTTTGGGAGAAAACAGCTGCTTTACCAAACTGTGAAAATAGAAAACGTATAACCCATCCCGCTCAGAAGAGAAAGCAAAGGATTTTACAAAGTTGTGGACAGACACATAACTACTTCCCCCTCAGTCCTGGGACAGAAAGGGCAGCGCAACTGCACAGCTAGAACTTGACTCTTGAAAAGCAAACAAAATCCAGGAAACACAATGACTGTGTAGACAAAAATCTGTTTGGAAAGTCGTGCTATCGAAGAGCTGAGCCAATATTCTGTGCAGCAAAGTGATGAACAATACATTGACGGGCCCAAATGGGACAGACCAGAAGATAACACTCTACAAAAATCCAGTCTAATTTCATATTTCCAATACCTCTCCTTGCCCATTAGCAGTCTGCCACAGATTCTAAACTTGTAAAGCTCCTTCCCATTGAGCTAGATTTTTTTCCCCCCTATAAAGTGCAAATAAGACTCAGGTTTTTACCACTAGTTCCAAATGATCATTATCTTACAAGATAATGATCAAGAGTGATCAAAAGCCAGTTGGCTGAGCCACTACCACTAGGCTTAGTGATACTCTTTTTTTTTTTTAACCCTGGTTACTTTTTCCAGCAAAAGGCAAATAGAAAACAAGTGTTCCTTCTGCCAGATGCAGGCATGACAGGAGGCTGCCTTAAGTACCATCAATGTAAGATGCACACGCTAGACACAATCAGCGCATTCTTGTGCATAACAAGAATTTGCCCTTGTTCGCTGGAAATGGAAGTCATCTTTGGGATCTTATTTCCTCACAAGGAGCTCAGGAACAGTTGATTAGTCTTCATGAAGAGGTGCTTCTCTCTTCCTTGCATCTACATTGAAAGGATGAAAAAAGAAGAGGCAGTTAAGCCAGAGGATTCTGACAGCATTGCTCTGAAAACTGAGAAACAGAACAAAGTTGGCTTGTTTTCAATGGACAGCACTGTCCATTTCAGACTCATGATATGAATTCACTACATGCACTGAAATGCTGTATGAATCCACAACGTGTTAACGAGATAGTCATACCAATGTTTTGTACGTTTGCCCTGTTGAAACTGAAGATGACTCACACAGTATTTAAGTAGCTCAAAAAACTTTAAGACTCCAGATCTGTGATACTTTTTCCCCCAACTCTTGACCCCTTGGCTCATGTTCCCCTGTAAGGGTGAAGTCAGCATTTGCTTTGCATACATAGATGATAAAAGTCTGTTCTGAAAGGCATTTGACTAATTATGGTTTTGCTGGTCCCCAGTCACATAGCACACATTTTAGAAAAGGTGAATGCTCTCCACACTGTATTTGCAAGAGCTGCCTGAGGCGGTCCCTGAAGACCAGATCTTTAGCTGCTCCGAACAGTAAACCTTTGAGCATGGCCCCAGGTAGGGTGTTGGAGCACACCTGGACAGCTCAGTCCATTACTACAGCAGCAGGCAGCGTGGCTGCCGTTAGGAAAGCTGAGGTCACCTCTTCCCAGCCTGCTGCAGAAGTGTCTCTGGGCTGACTTTAAGCTATCTGTGAGACCCTGTTGAATGCAGGTAGCTCTTGAAGTGCACCGTGATCACAGCTACTCTAGCAACTGTCTGCCAAAAGATGCACTTACATATATTTGTAAACTTAGTTTCTTTCCAACTCATAATCTATACATTCCAAGGTCATTATGAATATCCCCACTGATAAATTACTTGTAAATTAAAGACAAATCCCTTTTGCATTACTGCAAGCCCCAACTGCTCTTCATTAATATAAAAGATAGGTCCTTTTCAGCCAAAACATTTAGAGAACATGATTATGAAACAGTTTGTGTAAGTCTCATGACTTTGTGCTAAACAAAGTTTGGAGGAGGCAAAATATACTTCCCAAATAACAAAAGGAGAGCTTAGAGATTCCCAGTGACTGAAGCAGCCACCTGGGGTGGGACAAAATCTCAGCAGCCATTTGGGAGAGAAACCAGAAACCTCCTTTCCCGTGTTCCCCATCGTGCTCATCAGGGATACTGAAGTCAAGCCTGAATCCTCTCTGTCACAACTTCTCCACTTCATATAAAATAAGCGACTAGTGATTAGAGATGAAAAAGCTTTCTAAAAAATGAATGTCATACCCATCTAGCTACAGAGTTATTCACAGTCTGTCTCTGACTTTGGAAATATCAAAATGCATTAAATTATTTCTGGTGAATACTTATAAAAGAATCATACCGGTTAAGTTCCGGAATTTTTTTTTGGCTTCTGCTCTTTCTTCGGCATCAAAATACCACACAGTCATGGCATATCTATAAAAGAAACAAATCTTGTGTTTGTTTCAACTTCTGCTATTAAAATAAAGCCCCAGGGTTTTATACTCATGAAGAAAGCAAAAACTAAAACTGGATTAGTAGATAAAAAAAATAGGATGCAAATGGCACATCTTTATAGACAGACAGCATTTTAAATGTATATTTTATCAAGTGAGATAGAAACATAGGTGAGAATTTCTGCTTGGAGGCACAAAAGAGAGCACAGCCCCTGGTAACAGAGGGCAAAAGTAGCTTACAGACCTTTGCATGTTTTTCTGTTCTGGGACACCTTTAGGCAGCTTAGAGGTTGTCCTGCATCACATCAGCTTTTCATAGCCTGTTGACAGAGGGTAGCCCCAAGAATCCCTATGGTGTTACAAGGGCAAAAGCATAACCCAGCATCTCCCAGCTAAATAGCTATGCCTGGCTTGGAAGATTTCTCCTATCAATGGTAAAAGGGCTTCTTTTCCATCACACAAGGATTCTTATCATTCAAACTTGTTCTTCCTCATTTGATAAGAGAATTCCCCGTGACTCAAAAGCAGAAAATCCACCCAAAATCAAGCTATCTATTTTTTAATGCACACGTGTATTTAAACAAACACAATGGCCATAATTTTAGATACAAATATCAGTAGAAGAGATGCTTTGCTTGTTCCTGACCAAACATCAATACCAAATACGTTACTTACCTGGTTGCATAAGAAGGCTGGACTTCATGTGGGTTCCTTCGATCTGACCAAAAAAAAAGTAATCGGTCAAAAATCGGCTCAACATCTGCTACATAGGACTTTCCTTCTGGGAATATCCGAAGAATTCCGCCATGCAGCTGAAAGAAGAGGAAAGATTGCTTTTTACGCACATAAACACTCACATATTCATGTGAACAATGACTTATTTCTCTCTCCTCAGCACCCAACAAATGGGGAATAAACATCTAATAATAACCAAGACAGGTATATGACAACACTGGAAAACCACACACTGAGTCTCTTGGCCACCTTGATTTTCCTAAACAGTTTGTAATGTTTCAGCATAAACATCTGGCTAAAGCCAATGAACTAAGACAAAGATAACACTGGCCCTGTAGCAAACACAGGGAAACTTCTGAGCTCCCAGTCACATGCTTAGAACCAGTGAATACCACAAGGCAGGTAAGGGTGCTCCACCTGACCAGTCTGAGATCAAGCTCTCCTACCAGCAACTGCTAGATACTGCTTATGGTATTTCAGACTCTGCCTCTGATCACCTAGGAGTTAACTTTTACACCCTGGGAATAGAAAGTCTATTGTATTGTTGGATTCTGTAACTTGTAATAAACTTCTCATAAATGCATTCCATCTCCCAGTCAGTCTTTTCCCTACTTATACATAGTCTGGTTTCTCTACCACATCATTTCTCTCTTTCCACTTGTCATGAGTTTCAGGGAAAAAGTGTGGTGATCTGCACGCACTGTAGGAACTTCAAAAGACATGGCTGAACTCTGCCTTCTCCCTGCTGCTGTTAAGAGGGCTCTGTGGAGGCTTTTAGGCTGCACTGCAGAGTGCGGGGAAGATGCTGTCAACCCTGCACTGACCTGACTCAGTCCCTCCACGTGGCATGCAAACTTCAGTCAGGAACTATTAGGCCAGGTTTAAAGTAACACAGTGCTGTCAAAGGTCAGCATGGTTATATTGCATCTCCTCCAGCACACATTTGCTTAAAATTACCATCACACCCACGTAACACTCTCCACCAGCGTCCCGGATTTCAGTTAGCCTTCTTGGTGTTTACATGGGTGCTTCCCCACTATTAGAGCGGGGTGCATAAAAAAACTGAATATTTGCATTTCCTCCCACATCTCCTTCATTTTATTACATTGAGGAGTTTCACTGTCATACTCTCTGTAAAGGAATGTGTTTTTCTCCAACTGTGCATTTTTCGGTGGCATTGCCTCTAAATCTGAACTCACTTTTGAGGGGTTCATAGAATCTACATGTGCTTGAAGAGCATCCACCTAACATAGTGAAGACAGGTTAGAGACTGGGCAATTTTCCATAGATAATCCACATGAATGGTTTGTGCCACATTATGACACCATAAGTACAAAGAGACATCCTGCAGTTTTACAAACTCTTGTTTTGTTTCTAACTTAAAGGTATAGTAAATTCAAGGCTGACTTTATTGCTTTACAGTCATACAGGCAGAAACAAGAGCACCGTCCTGTCAAGAGACACACTAGTGGAGCCAAAGATGAGGAGGACGAACCAAGCCACATGCTCGTTCCTCTTACTAAGCCACATCACTTTGTAAGTAAGAAAACGACAAAGGCAACTGCCTGAAGATCTTCCGTAGGTTAGTCTGAAGGAACAGTATCAAGAACGCTGAAGTCCCAAATCTGGGCCGTCATTTTATTCTGCTCCCAGAATCCACTTATTCCTTAGTGGATTATGTTTTTCTTTCTAGTGTTTCATTGCTCTTTTCTCTAAACAAAGCATAAGAGCCAGCAACCCAGCGCTTAGAAGCTTTATTCTACAGCAACAAAATGGTATGTGTGTGGGATGGGAGAGAGAATGATACGGAAACAGCTCAGATTCTTACTTCCAAAGGGTTGCCATAAACACCACGAAAATAAATGTAGAGATGAAAAATGGACCAGCTGTTCAAAAGTTCACCAGAGTTCACCGAAGCAGCTGACAGCTCCAAAGCTCTGTTTCTGAGGTAGTTTCTCCTTTGTGTTCTGTCTCAACCCCGTGGCTTACTTACCTTGGAGTCCCAGTTCTTATTCAGGTAATAAATACAGGTGATGCAGCGTCCGTCACCATTTGGATTGTCCACATGACGAACATACCCCGTTCCATTTCCAGGATAGCAAGCAACCATAGCCTGAATGAAAGATAAAAATTGTAAAAAAAATATAATTCTACAAGATATCTACCTTCAGTTTTTCTTTATTAAGCATCCTCCCACCACCAGTTCAGCTCAGCATTTTTCAGATGATAACCCAAAACCTACAGCAGACACCACCAGAAGATATCTTTGCACAAGCTTCTTTCACTGGGTGAGCTAATGGTGAAATTCCAAACTGGAAATAAATGCCCTTCATATTTCACAATATATATGTTAAAGTGGGAGGAAAAAAACTGAATTAAATTAAGACACTGGTATGTACGGTACAAGTTCATTGTTCTCTACAAGCTACGTGACTTTGAGGCAGTTTCAGCTAAAGTTTGCTTGAGTTTCTAAAGCTAAGCAGTCATTGCAAAACTGAATTGCCAGTCATAATGAAAGTAGAAAGTGATCCCAGGACGTCATGCCTTACTAGCACCATCTTCCTCTACGCATATCTTTCAGTCCCGGTCATATATATCCCTGTGGTCCAACAAAAAGTGAGGGTGCCCAGGAGGTGTGGGGTAAAAGTCCACAAAGTGAAGTCTACAAAAATCTGCACCTCCTTTGTGCTGTGTTTGCACAGGGCAGTGCGTGTTTGCTTTCATGGACTGAGCCACAGAACTAACCAAACAGCTTTCAGAAGCATACCTCTCTCTTTGATCATCTCCAGACTTGATACAATCGCTTAATTCAACGTTTGCTTAAATTTTACCATGAATGATGAGATAAGCCTGACATGCCAAACCACGCAACAGTCAACAAGTCTTAAAAGGGTTTTTACAGCAAAAACGCATAGAGTTTGAGTTGATACCATTAGCAGCCTAAGTAGGACGCAGGAAAGAGCAGGTGAGACTGCTTGTAGGGTATCTTGTCTTTGGGTATCAGATCTTTGTCTCAGAGTCACTTCTTCACTACTGAGACTACTTGGTAGTGATACCAGCCACTTCCCATGGAGTTTATGCCACTAAAGCTGTGGCAACAGAAGTTGTATTCCCACTCCTCTGACATCTCCTTTCATTGTTTGCCAGTATCAGCAGCAAGAGCGATGGCAGATGATGGGCTAAGTTCAGCTGGAAAACTGGACACAGTATCCAGATGTGGCCTCCCCAGGACTGAGGAGAGAGCAATAATTACTCCCCTCAATCTACTGGCTGTGCTTCTGTGAATATTGCCCTGGACACTGTTGTGCAGGGGCACACTGCAGGCTCATGCCCAGCCCACAGCCCATCAAGATCTGTACTGCAGCAAGGGGCTCTTCCTTCCCAGGGGTAAGACTTCGCATTTGTCCATGTTTAATTTCATAAGGGTTGCCATTGGCCTGTTTCTCCAGCTCATCTGGGGCCCTTCAGGTGGCAGCCCTGCCTTCAAGTGCATCAACTGGTATCCCTGAGTTCAGTGTCATCTCCATACTTGATGAGAGTCCACTCTGCCATCTGCTTTGGGTTACTGACAAAGATGTTACCAGGTCAGGTCCCATGATAGACTCCCACTGTGCTCCATTTGTTACCGGTCTCTAGATATAACACAACTGATTAACCACAACACTCCAAGCCCAACCATCCAACCAGTTTTTTACCCATCTAGTTTTCCATCCATCCAAACCATAACATCCAAATTCTGGATACAAGAGTAACATGCATGCCTATCCCATAGAACAAGGATGTGATTGTGCACCATTTGCATTGCCTGTCCCTAGTAAACTGCCAAGCACAGTTGATAGCGTTGAAGATTGATGGTATAGGCTTCATCAAGAACAACTGAAGCTTTTATCTAGGAACCCCAGAGGTCTTACTTCCTGTTTCCTAGCACGTGCTAATGCTATGCTGTCTTCATGGGACACATGACCAGCTAGAAGGTAGCACATGTTGCTTTAATCACAAAGGTAATTCTACTGTACCAACAAACAGTGTCACAGACGTTATCACCAGCCAGTGCAGCGGATCCTTTAGCCCCTCTGCTACCAAGAATTAAAAGTCTATTCACAGGAGTCAGCCAGTTAGGATGGATGTACAGATATAGCTGTGAAAATACTACTCTGCATCTCAAGTCATGTATGAATTGACTTTCCTTCCTCCCCACAAGCACCAGCAAACAGTACCTGCAGGCAGCAGTAAGTCACTAGAGCCCGCTCCTCAGCCCAACACCTCAGGCCACAGCTGTTTGAGGGCTGGTGGCCTGCAGGGGCAGGAGATGATGCTGAACCAAGAGCAAGTACCTTTAATCCCCAGTAATAAGCCCTCTTCCATCACAGCTGGCAGCCTGCTAGATGCCTTGCCGCAGGTTCTGTCTGCTCTGTCCTCATTCTGCTGTTAGAAATGGCTCCACAGCTGAACTCAAGTTTCACTATCAGCTTGGTAACAGCAGTGAGGGCCAGTCTACAGCCTAGCCCTGGAAACCAGTCTGGTGTAGGGGCATAAGCCTGGTGGAACCACAAGCCAGCTGTAACTGCAATTTAGAAATGGTCCAAGGGAGCCATCATACCCTCACTAGGGAAAATAACCCCCGCTGTGCATCCCCCCCCACCCCCATCCCAGCTGCTAGCACAGCAGCTCACACAGGTGCACCCATCACCCATCCCATGCACAGCAGCCAAATCAGGTGGAACAATTAGAACAGTAACCCTTTGCTAAACCTCATCCTTGTATGGTGGGGAACGTGACCCCGGGAGCTGAGGAAGCAGAGGAGAGGGGGCAGTGATGCCAGCGGACGGGCAGGGAGGAGGGCTGCACCAGGGGCTCATCCCTGCGACCAGCACGGCTGATGCCCAGAGGACGCCAACCTGCCCCCCAGCACAGGGTCTGGCTCAGCAGAGCTCTGCTAATCATACCAGAGGGATGATGCACGGTGGGAATAAAACTTTGTTGACTGATAATATCTTGGTTTTAAGATCGATGTACAACACAAAATTATGAAGGCCTTAATAAAGTCTCTCTTTAGAGAGCAGACATTACTCCAAGATTACTGAACTGCCTAAAAATCAATCCAGTATTACTACTATTTTTTAATGCCACAATCAAAAAGCTGCTGAAGAATAATAGACTGCAGGCCAGATCCTTAAAGGGATTTAGGTGCTTTACTTACTACCAAAATCTGGGCAGAAGGCCAGAGTTTTCCCCGGCCTCCCCCACATAATATGTTCTCTTAGCAGAACATGTGCTTTGACTCAGAGACGTTGATGCATTATTTATTTATTTATTTATTTACAGCGTGCACCTTTTGCAACCGCAATGCACACAGTCCCTGGGGATGAAGAAGCAGAACAATTCCCACAGAATCTAAATGCACTAGCCACACTCTGGCTTAACTTTAAGAAAAGAGCGGGGGGGAAAAAAAGTTTTCTATTAGCAGCAGCGAAGGGAGAAAAGCAGAAGTGAAATATCCTTTTTCCTGGCATGGCGAATACTTGAATGTAACCTTAAACAATGAAGGGAAATCATTCTGGTCCTCCTAGAGCCTGTTGAAACGATATCAAGCTTTATCAGAGCACTGGCTGGAGCAGCTCCAGAGCAGATCAAGCTGGCCTCAGCAGGGATTCCAGCTGTTAGCACTACTTTTGGATTCATTCAAAGCAAACAAGAAACCGGAGATGAGATGCGTGACCCAGACTTAATTTAGGTAATTGGTGAACACCAGTATTTTCCAGTTCAGTGCACGGGCTAGCTACAAAAGCCGGAGGCTGGAGCATAATAATCAAACCATTTACCAGGTGAGCAAGTGGAGCGTCAGTAAAAAAATGTCTCCTACACTTTTTCAGCCATTGTATCCAGAAGACCACACTCAGTTTTTGGAAGCATCTCCCTTCAATAACCAACTCCAAACCTAAACTAACTATAGCAGGCAGGAGTGAGCAGGAAAGCGCCTTTTTTTTTTTTTTTTTGCAATACAATCCATTACAATCACTGATAGTTGGCTTAACTTCCCAGTGCAAGCACCCAGAGTAAATTTCAGCAACACTCTCCCCTTATTTTGTTAAAATAGACAAGTTTGTCTTAAATAACAGCTGAACAGTTAAAAACTCTGATATACAGATGCATGCCTTTGCAGTTGCGCACACGCATGCAATTGGTTTGAAGACCAATGCCCTGGTGGTCTATTAGACAGTCATAAATTAAAGCCTACAAAACTTGGAAAACGAAAAGCAAATCATCAAGACTGCAGATTCTGCACTGCCATTTTCAGAGATGTTAGGTTTCCCAAGAGGGTGCGAATCAACCACCAGTTAAATAAGCAGTAATTACCAGCTTCAGTAAGGAGCCAGGAATCATTAGTAAACTCCACGTTGCACAGAAGCTTGCAAAAATAAGTTATTCATCATTCAGTTTTTAAGTATTACACTCAAGTCAGCCAGAGAAATCTGCAAGTCAAACTGCAAGGCACCAGCAAAGTTTGGAGGCACATTAAAAAACAACAGTTCCATAGAGAGGATTTTTCTCTGCCTCCCAGTGCTTGTAGCAAGGGGAAAACCAAATCCTGTTAGCTGATAGCCAGGACCATGCTGTGAGGCATCATTCTGCTACATTTCATAAAATAAGCAGCGCTGGAGTGGACTGATACTTGGAACAAAACGCTTCAGAGAATACCTCAACTAGAAGACGCTTGTAAGTGGAAACGAACAGAGCCTAATAGGAAGCCATGCTGGCAGCAGGTCAGGAGGAGATGCTCTCCGTGCCTGCTAGCACCATGCCAGGGCCCCACTGTACTCCTACTGCAGGCTGCTTAGGTGGTGGTGGTAACTCTACACTGATCCCGGACCTTCCTCTCGGAGCTAGTATGACCTTTGCAACCAGCAGAGAAAATTCTGACCTGTGTAACTCTATCCTGCCAACACCACCCGTCCCTACAGATTAAGCTCAAGACTCCATGATGTGCTTTTCCCTTTTCTGTACCAGATTTGTCCTGTGTATTGTTGAACCACCGCTACTTTTTTGATCCCTAGCGTAGATCACCTTTGTGCACAGTTTGGACATCAAATAGTTAAATTCAGAAACAAC